CATATCCTTGGCAAAACCACAGTCAACCAGCTCAGCAGAAAGTATGATCAGGATGGGTGTGGTCAAGGCCCAATACTGCCTTTATGAGACAGATGAGGTGACTCTTAAAACAATAAAACACCACTATTAGTATTGGTAAATTTGCTACAGTAAACACTCCTTCTGATGTTATTTTCTTGTAAGTAATCAAAGAATTTGGGGAGGAGGCAATCAGACTTCCCCTTGTTGTCCTGGTTGCCTCAAACAGACAGCTGAACTATCTTTATGTAGAACTGGACATTCTCCTACCTCCATAGACACTGCAGGAAAGCTACACAGCAACTGCAGTTGCTTGCCCCAGGGCTGTTTCAAACCCTCGGTACCAGAGCTTTTGCTATCATAAGTCAAGGTTTGGCAAGCTCTAAATGACCCTACAACAGTTTCCACCTAGACTAAAGGACACGACTTCCCTTGGGGGCCTTCCAGAGACTTGTCTTTGACTGGCACCGAAGGGCAATGCAGTGAGTACCGGGAAAACCCCACCCTCCAGCTGCACGGGACAGGCTGATCGGCTCACTTGGTGAGCTAGATGGGCAGTGCTCTCCTGTGGTGCCTATCCTAGTTCTGCAGTGTTAGGCTTCTCTTTAATCATCATTTGCCATCTTTCAGTAGAGGGAGGGGGCTAAGTGGCAAGGTGAAGAAAGCAGCGTAGACAGCAGAGCGGCAGTGACAGTTGAACAGTCGGCACACAGAGGCCGGGTTGGTAGCTGAAGAGCTCAGAACAGCCGGGACAAAGACAAGGGGAGACCCGAGGATGACAAACAGAAGACTGAAGAACTAGAGAAGAGAAACCACGGACCTTGGTGCTGGAAGACAGAGTCTGCTGTCAAGGGCTAGGGAATCCTGGCATCTAGGCCTGTAGGGAAGTTCCGATGCCAACTGATGCCAACATCTAAGGCATTCTAAACCTCCTAGGCCTACAGGGAGCTGGGCATGTGTAGAGCCTTTATAAACACTTGGAGAGCCAAGGGCCCAGACACCTGAGCTTGGTAGAGAACTGTTAACACCATGGCGCCACCTGCTGCCATAGTTGCAGTTGTCCAGGCCTGAGGAACAAGCACCTTCTTCCTTGCTGGCCATGGTTTCTATCTAGGGACAGCAGCAGGACTCCAGACACCTGACTGACCACATTTATAGCCACCACTGTTTGCTTCCAACACCCGCAGCTCCAAAGAGAAACAGGAAAAAGCTCGTGTAAGTTTTCCTTTTACTAAAATTAAATGTACTATGCTTCTCTTTAAGGTTGTCTAACGTTTCAACTAAGTTTGAAGAGCTAAGAAGAAGAAAGACCTTTCTACTAAAGCTGACAGTTGATCTTCAAAGGTCAACACTGCCAAGGCCACGCCCAGATCATAGTCATCCTGAGTCTGGTGGCACCAGAAGAGTTCTGAAAGGGTGATAAGTTCCAAGTGCTTAAAAATGAAAAACACCTTCTTTGACTGTAAGATATTACATACAGACCCATACCGAAGTTTCCAAGGACTCCTTGGAGTACCTGTGAGCTCCTGTTTGCCTCATGATAACCCAGGGCAAAGCCTATTACTCCAAGAAACACCCCCAAAAGAGAAAGTATGACAGAGTCAGCCTGTTTGTGCTGCCTTAATGAAGATGGGAAGCAGGTAGGAAGCCTGGATTTTAACCTCCATGCTGGGTACCTGATGAGGCACAGAAGAGAGACTTGGTATCATTTTCTAGTAACACCACCACCCTCCTTTACTTCAATACCATTTGTCAGGTAAAGTAGAGAATGGACCAGACCCAGATCCTTAATGTGAAGGGAAAGTGACTAGGCTTCAATCTGAATTACAGTTCAGGAACCAGAAGACTTCCAACTGACAAAAAAGACAATTAACAGAGGGGTTGTTAACTCCAAGGTGACCTTTTAGCTTTCAAAGATTTTAAAGCATGAACAACAAAAAGACCGTAACCATCAATTACAAATATATCTGAAAGAGATGGAAAAAGAAGAAACCCTTGGGAAAAAATAGAAGATGAGAAGGCGAAGGGGAAGTCTAAGAGATGAAAAGCTTAATGAAAACACACACACAGGATGGACTTGGCAGCAAGTTGAAGAAGGGGGAAATGTCAGCAAACTCACAGAAATCACCATGTCTGGACAGAGGGAAAACACAAGTGGAGAGGAAAAGATGAATGCAGTGGGAACCAAAGGTTCAGACCCCCAGACTGGCAGGGATGAACCCAAACAGCAATGGCTGGAAACAGTCCTAACCCAGAATAAGAAACTTTCTCATCTAAGAGGCTGAGTGAATCCCCAGATTCTCAAAACCCACAGCAGCCCACACAGGGGGCAAATAAGTAAAATAACAAACAAACAAATAAATAGCAGTGTCTTGGAAGCAGTGAGGAAAGATGCCTTACCTATAGGGAGAAAGAAGGCAACAGTAGGGCTTGTCTATCAAATTCAGAGACCAGATGCTTTCAGGAGATTGAAATAGAACTATTTATTAGCCTGGATCCTTATACTGGAATACAACTTTCAGGAATGGAGCTAAGTCAAGACTGCTTGAGGCTAAGGGAACAGAGAGTCCACCATGGACCTCCCTCATGCAGAAGCATGGAGTCTGAAGCACACACAGGACAGAGCAGTTGAGGGCACTATAGAAGACCCTGTTCTGAAGCAGTATCCTGGACTGCATGCATCCAACTGCTAGAACAAATTATAAGACAGTAAGCAGGAGAAAGATGATAAAGAGAAACCATGGAGCTGAACACAAGGAAACAACCACAAGTCAATAAATAATTGCTGTTTGTTTCATTTTTGAGACAGTATCATGCTGTCTAGGCTGACCTTAGGATGATTTTTGAACTTCTGATCCTTTTCTTGACTATCTATCTACCTCCCAAGTACAAATAACTGGCTTTTAGAAAGAGGTCTCCAGACTGACGTGCAAAAAAGACAAGGTTCCTGGAATCAGAGCAAAGAGGGCTGGCTATTCCAGGTCCAGTCCATATCATTGAAACATACAGACATTCAAAGGTGTGGCACCAGCTCTCTACAGGCTCAGCGGAGGAAGGGAAAAAGAGGGAACACTACTGATCCAACTTGTGAAGCAAGTCACACAAGGCATGTGAAAATGCATAGAGTAGTAAAAATGTCACAGACTCATGGCTGGTGTGCCTGCCAACATATACAAACCTATATGCATAGCCCCACTCTAAGAGTCTGAAGGCACTCTTTTATTTTAAAGCTATCAGTGGGCCGGGGAGATGCTCTGGATGAAGGAAGGTACTTGCTGCCAAGCTTGCTGACCCAAGCTTTGAGTTTGATCCTCAGGACCTACGTGGTCAAAGGACAGAACTACTCCTGTAAGTTGTCTTGTGACCTCCATACTTGCTCTGTGGCACGTCCCACAAGCCCACAGACCTTCCCTCTAAGAAACAAGTGCATAAATGTGATACAGAAAAGCAAAGAGGCTAACTACACATGTCGAAGCACGTCAAAAAGAAAACTACAGGGTCATGTTACTAACAATACACAACCATTCAAAACATTCACAGGCACCAGGAAGGGAAGTTCCTATCAGAGGGAGGAAGGAGGAACCCTCCTCAATGTGACAAGGAGGATGCACCAACCCTCACAGCGCTCAACAACCTATCAACAAGACAGAACTCTGCCCAAGACTGGAAGAAAGTTGCTATGTCCTCAGGTCAATGGAAACAGAGCCACAGAAACGTACTTGCTTGACTTTGAGATAACTGCAAATGAAAGTCAAGGGAGAAAAGGACATTTTCAACAAAAAGACGTTAGCAAGAAAGTCTCACGGCTTAGTGAGGCATGGAGATGCACACCCGTGATTCCTGCAGTGGAGAAGCTACAGTAGGAGGAAAGTGAGACTGTCCCAAAATGCTAACCAATCAATCTCCCCATAACCTCATGGGGCAGGAGGGGGTTGAAAAACCTCTCACGACTTCTATAAAAAGTGACAAAGTAATTGTCATACAAACATGAATACCTGAGTTGAGGTCCTCAGAACCTCGGTAAGAGCCTGGCACAGCTGGCCACACATGTTCCTTTAATTCCAGTGTTGAAGAGGCAAACAGGCAGATCTCAGGAATTCACTGGTCAGTTGTTTACTAAATCAGTGAGCTCATGTCTAGTGAGAGACTCAAACTGTAAGGTTAAGAGCAAATGAAGACACCATGGGACACTGACCTCTGGCCTCCACATGCATTCTTGTGTGTGTGGGGGTACTCGTGTGTGAGCACATCCACAACCCCCTTATACCACCCTCCTTCAAAAAATAACCAAACTTGATTGAAAACATCATATTTTAGTATATGCAAATGGTTAGAATAAATCACCAGGGAAATCTGAAGGTTGGCCTATCAGTAATAAACTCAACAATGAAAACACAATTCATAAAAAGAAAAGCTGGTAAGTAGAACTTCCAAAATTCACAAAGCAAAAACTCTTATCATTCTATCAAAGGCCCAGTTCAAAGATGCAAAGACAAAGGTGCTGGTTGGCAAAGTCCAACCACAGTAGACTGAGAAAATGCTCATTTAAGTAAAAACATACAAAGGCTTACATTAACAGTAATAATCAAACACTTCAATTGGAGAATGCGCAAAAACACAGTTGTTTCACCAAAGAGCAAGCATATTCAATGGATACTCCCAGCTCAGTGTCCCCCCAGAGAGCCATGTTTGGCTTCTCCCTGGGCTTTGGCTTCCAGGTGGGGCCCCTGTCATCTTAGCAAGTGCAGTCAAGCTGAGGGGTCCACCTCTCCACATGGCCAGTGGGGACCTGTACCTCACCCTGCTTCAGACACCCTGAGGTAGAGGAATATCAGATGGAATCACCTACAAACTAGACATAGCCTGCTCTCAAGCCACACGTTTAATGTGCTTGAGTGTCATTAAGGAGTGCCTGCAGATGTCTCTGATGTCACTCAGTGACACGTCTGGGAGACTCCACCCTACTCTTAGCTACCAAGTACCAAGCAAAACTTACAACTTCACAGCCTGGGTGACAATGATCCCCAAAGATAGTGCTTGGTGCTGTTGCCAAGCGCCCTGTCACAATGGGTCTACATAGAGTTCCAGGTCCAGGATGAAGCTAACTGCCGCTCTCTCATGGAGGTAACAGGGCTGAAATCTCAGAAGTTCAGCAGGTGCAGGAGCCCCGCGACAGACAGAACAGGAGCTACACAGGCTGTAGGATGGGTGGAACACTGGTTCATTCCTCTACGCTATGGGGTCGAGGACTCTCTACTGTCAAGGATGTGGACTGGATACCAAGGCCATTGTGGATGTCTGGAATTGTGGTGGGCACGACTGTAAAAGAAAATCACTAGGTGCCAACCAGCAGCGTGGAGAACTGAACCAGAGCACCTTACGTGTTCAGTGGCTCAGTGTAGGAGACTCAGCAGAAAGGAAGCAAAGTCCAACAAGGATGGGAGGAGTCTCTAGTTTAAATTAAAAGGGAGTGACACACATGGTGCTGTTAGGAAACGCACGCTAGACTTTCTCACTCAGCAGAGGAGGAATCTGGCAGAGCAGGTCTGATCAAGGTGGGGTCAAATCCCTCAGCTACATTTCTTAGAGGACACAAACACCCACAAGGAGAGCATTTAGATGTTTCTGCTCCATAGACATCCTGTGCTGTGTGCAGACATGCAAGCCTGGAAGAGAAAGGGCCAGAGACTCCATGTTTCCTTATGTTAGCTGGTCAGTTCATCGGCCTTTGAAGTCAGGCCATGAATAAGTAAGTAGTTCTGACACCTGTTGCCCGCGCAAGTGCGGACAGCAAGAGTAAGGCACTTGACAATTACCTGACAGCCTACAGAGTGAACTAACTGGGCTGAGATGACATGTCATTGTGACAATACAAAGTCACTTTCCATTATAGTTTCTACAACCAATACAGTCGATGACTCATTACTATCCTCTAATGTACCAGGACAGGACGACACCTGGATACACAAGACACTTCCAGGTTCTAAAGAAAATATCAGCACAAGTCACCTTCCCAGCATGCACTGCCAGAGACCAGCTCCTGCAGCTGCATGAGGCGGCTTCACATTTCAGAGCCTGTTTTCTCTGCTGCTGGAATAAAAGCTTTATTGAGGCTCAGTCTACCATACTCAATTAGTTTTCAGACAACACTTCATTACTTTCACTTGTCTTGGATATCCCTAGTCTACTGACACACGCTTCAAACAAAACCAAGTAATTAAAGGAACAATATTGTGCCTAACACTGTACTCACCTTAGACAAAGGGCCTTTGCTTTTTTAGTTAAGGAAAAAGAAATGAGAAGCTGAGTTGGTTTCCGCAGTGGGGAAAGCAGACTGCACAGGTGTTGCGCAGGTGCACACCAGCACATACTGACTTTGCGGCTGCTTTAAACTCTGGAAGCACTGCTGTCCAACTGCAATTTAGAAACTGAATTTCAGAAATAGCCTTCAATCACAGCTCCTTCTCGCCCCTTATCAGGTTATAATAATACTGCAGAACAGACAGCAACGGAGATGTGGACCCCTTGACCACTAAGGGTAAACCTTAGGATGTTCCCGGTTCCTGACACAAAAGTCAAAACCTTGGAGTGTCCATCAAGGCTTCAGAACAGGGCTGGTTCCTCCAGTATCTATCACTGATTCCTAGAAAGATTGACACCTGGAACTTCAAACCCCAATCCCAACCTCTGACCGCCAGAGAGCCAATCACTTAGGAGCAGTGATTAAGTTACTATACTCATGTAAAGCGTCCCACACAAAACCTCCAGAGGGTGGACTCAGAGATTTGGAATGCGCATGTCCCCACTTCATAGGGACTGAGGCTCTTGTGCCCAGTCTCTGCTCCCCCAGGAAAGGCCCACACCTTCCCCAAATCCTGCCTGAGTTCTCCATCTTTTCACCGCTTCCCCACACCCATCTGCCTCTCTGGGCTGACCATAGCACACTCAGAACTCTAGAATTAAAAGTGTCCGCAGTCACCAGGCTGTTTCTCAAATCCTGGATGCTGTGGTGGCCTCAGCTCCCCACTGCGGTGCAGCACCCATAGAGAATAACACCAGCCGGTCATCGGCTACTATTGTTTTGTGGGACAGCTTTATGATTATTTCTAGCCAGAAAGAAATTGGAGTTCCCTCAGTTACTGCTTTTACTTCTAGGGCACAGCTCCTAAAGCAGAACCTGGGTCAAAGGGTATGACTCTTGGTAAACACCGCTAGAGCCCAGCCAAATGCCGAGTCCACTTAAACATCCTCAGTGAAACACAAGCACACTTCATGTCTGAATCAACAGGCAGCACAGGAGTGAAACCTTTGGACTTAGTGATTGTGAGGAGATTAGAGCTCATCACACCCCCAATTCCCACAAGCTGAATGCTTAATCTCTCTCCCTTGTTACAGTGTCTTCTCTTGAGATCACCCATGCACTGACCACCTTGGGCTCCAGGTATCCAGCTCAGTCCTGAGGCCGCACTTGCCCTGACTTCCAACTGGGTGCAGGTGTGTCTCACACAAAGGACCTGCACACACCTATGGCCAACAAGTTCCACATTACCTCACCTGGTTTTGAGCTTTTTGGTACCGTGTGGTTTAATTTTTTCTGTTACAGCACACTTTCTGCTATGGAGCTTTGCTAGAAGACTCTTTAGAACACTGCCACCCCACCAACCGTCTCCTCCAGCATCATGGGTCACAGAAGCAGAAAGCAGTGAGACGGCAAGTATCGGTGGTGAACAGAGGTGTCACTGTGCCCATCTGAGGTAACAGTACTCTTTTACACTTTGATGTGGTATGCAAATGAACATGTTCGTACAAGTATGTGCATGTGTGTAGGCCACAGGTTGAACTGTATGTGTCTTCTCAATCACCCTCCACTTTGTATGTATGAGACAAGGCCTCTAACTGATTCAGCTAGGCTGGCTGAACTTCATTCAGGTATCTGTCTGTCTCCACCTGCCCGGCAGTGGGACTGCAGATGCATGCCACCGTGGCCAGCATTTATGTGGGTTTCTAGGAGTACAGTACCGCCCGCCAGCTGTGCCCTTCCCCTTCATCCTCTTAATTTTTAGCCAAAACCTCAAAAATAAGGACAGTCTCAGCATTTTAAAGGACATGTTGACAAAAGAGTAAGTGTTTCACCCTAGGACAGAAAAATGTAAATAGTGTTCTGAACCAAACTCAGATTTCTCATACTGTAACACAAGCAATTACTTTATTGTGTGTGTGACTGCAACCTCACACCTGCTAGGCTTTGCATAGCAGCCAAGCTTAGCTGTGGCTACGGCAGGAGGTGCCAAAACTTCTGTTGTCCCTGTGCTCTGAGACCAGTGACACTTCAGAGTGTGGAGAACTTGCCAAATGGTATTAATTACAATAGAATCTGAAAGGAGGCTCAGACTGAGCTGTGAAAATTCAAGAAAACTATACCGAACTTCATTTCACAGACAGTGACTGAATGTCTGAGCCATAGGTGCCTGCTCCAGAGGAAAATCCCTAATCCTCCATACCACTCAGTGAGGTCATACACAGGCAGGGACGCTGGGCAGGATGGCACTAACCAAGGCATCTCTTCTGTAAGCACGTAGGGGGCTCCCTAAACTTTTACTTGACAAACCTTCACAAGACAAACCAACCCCTAACACCCCTCTCACACAAGAAGAGCTCAGTAGACAAAAAGGATCGAGAGGACATAAAAAGGCAGTTTGCTGAAGTGCACTCTGAGAATAAGCCTACATCCACAAGAGGTAGGCTTACCACAAGGCTCCTGCCATCCCTTAGCATCCCAGGACGGCTCACTGGGTATGTCCAGCACACACCTCAGCAGGGCATACAGGTCTACTCTTCTGGGTGTCAGGCCAACTGCAGCACATTTTGGCAAAAGTTGCTATGCTGTACTACAGTAAAACTATTAGTGACCTTGAACTCAGTGACCCCACTTTGGTGATGTGATTAGAAGCAGCAGCAAGTGGACACACCCAAGCATGTGAGTGACTAATTGGAAGAAAACAAGTTTCAGTAGCCATGACACTTTATGTTTTGAGTTGCAAAGCAGCAGGCACACTCAAGGCACACTGAGGAAGCAGAGAGAGCCGCTTCACACCAGTCTTGAACAAACATCTTGGTTTTCTGTTCGTGCCAATCCTGCTTCCAATTGCCTGCGTGTCACTGAGGCTGGGCCACACAGGACAAAGTTCTTGTTCCACCCTAAAAGTACTCTCTTAAAAACATGCAAACTGCTCAGGCCTCCAGGGCCTACTGCAATCAGAGCAGAACTAACACCATTATAGTTCTGGGCTGCTGACCATATAGGGCAACTACCAGGGATGATCTCAGAGCTTCTGGAGGGGCACAAAGGAATGGGCAGGTGACTGCATGTGGACTGCAAGCCAAACACTGTATCATTGCCCCAAACCTCTAGGCTCCTTATTTAAACAAGCAGGATGTGCTTCAGCTATATAAGGGGAGTCTGAGGGGTTCATAGAGATGGGGTGACTAAGACTGCATAGAGAAAGTAGAAGGCCAGAAGGGTCTGTCCCTTGTGGGGCACCACCAACCCAACCAACAAATGACTTTTAATCTACGGAGTGTTCTCACAACCTTCTGACAAGTATGTGGAAGAGTCCAGGAGACCAAGACTGCCTGCTGCAGGACACATCTGGGAGGGAGGTCGGAGGCCCCCATAGACTCCTCCTCTGCTGGGCACCCCAGGACACTCTTGAGTACCCTGCCAGCACTGGGCACGCTGCAGAAACACATGACTCATATAGGATATCGCAGAACTAAAGCAAGGGTTCCTTTACTTTTGGTTTTGTAACCCAAGATGAGGCAGAGTAAACACCAGAATCCAGCACAAGCTGGGAGGCGCTCTCTGCACTGGAAATTACCATTGTCACGGAGGACAACACAAACCAAGGACTGAGCAGAGCCTCAAATGTCACTTGTCTTCATTGTGGTCCAATATAACCATCTTCATAGGTTCAGGAAACTAAAACTTAACACTTTAGATGTGCCACAACGTACCTGAAGGAGGAAGGCTCCCCATGGATAAGTGGAGCACTGGAGAGAGCTGGTGCAGGACCCTGGGTACCCATCCGGATGAGCTTGCCTGTGTTGGAATCATAGATGCGAACCTCGGGGCCAGGATGGGCCTTGGAATGGATGGGTGTTGGGTGGAACAAGGCTGCTGGGAGCACATTCTGTCTGTCTGGAAAGGCTGCAGGGCTGTTCCCCCTGTGGGATGAGAGCAAGGGCCATGAACGGTATTATCAACAAGATGAAAGAGAGGCACAACTAGAGGGGGTGGATACAGGAATGTGGCGATGTGTACCAGGGACAACAGCAACTACTGGCTAGGCTCCAGATGAAAAGCTTCTTCAATTCTTGACCGAACCCTTAACATGGAAGATTTGTAACTCGGACTCTAGAACATAATGATGTGTAAATATAACATGGTGTTCATCCGCCAGCATCACCAAGCCTGCTGTGCAGCAGGACAACCTAGAGGAAGCCGCCTTTACTCCAGCAGGACAACGTCAGGTCTCTACACTTCATGCTGTGATATCTGCTTGAGCCGACAATGACCAGAGCTACTCTCAACAGAACTGACTGCCACTTGCCCTCAACATCCTACTTTCTCATCACAAATACACAAAAACTGGGAAGTTCCTTTTCCATATACCTCCCTCCCCCTTGGAGTAATTCTGCAAACGTGTTCCACGGCCTCCATCCCACCACCCCTTCTTTGGTTCCTTTATATAATGTATGGCATATCAGCCCCGAAGAAATGTATACAAACTAGGATGTACGAATGAATCCCACATTGAATTGTACTAAGAGAAAACCCAGATCTGATGCTTCCTTGGATGTTAACTGTTGCTCATCTTTGAGTTCACAGAAGAGTTGCAACTTCCCGCTGCAGAGGTCAAGGCCAGGGTGGACAGAACAGGCTCCTCTCGGGAGCCCTGCAGCCTTGGGAGTTGGGTGTCATTTGTAACACTTAGTAATGACTACCTTGAGAAGTCTACACGCTGCAGCAGTAAGGCTCTCCTCACATATCCACTTCACATCACTGCTGGATGTGAAGTAGAACTGAGTCTGCAGAAACTTCTGGTCCAGTATGGGAAGATCACAGGGGTGGGGTGGGGGGCAGACCTAGATGCCTGCTTGAGGCTGAGTACCTGAGGGAGGAAAGGCAGCGTGGAATAGGATGATGTGGATGGGAGGGAGCCTACCTGTGTGCCCGGGCATCGTCGTCTATGAGCGGGAAGAGCTGCTCCTCGACCTTGTCCCAGCGCTCCAAACAGCTCCACAGCCAGTCAGGGCTGACCACATGTAGGTGCCTACACTCCTGTGCCTGGCGCACCTTCTCTGTGCCTACAGAGACAACATGTCAGATTGCATGCCCAGGTGTACCAGAGTGGGGGTTATATATTCCCTAGGATGGAGCTGCACACCAGGCTTACAGACAAGCATCCTCCTCACCGCTGGAGCTACAACCTCTGCCAACAGGAATTCTGTACCTAAATTACTTTCTAATCTTCGAGCTACCCCACAGACAGCCTGAGGCCCTGCCCTCCAGGCTTGTCTATGACCTGGGCTCCCGCACCACCCATGGCAAGAGATCTATCAATTTTCAACTCCAGGACCTCCTTAACCAATCTGGCCTAACCCTGTCCCCTGCTTCTTTTTGTCCTTCCTGTGTGTATAAAGGATCCCCTGAGGACTGAGTGACTCCTTGACTCCATTCTATCTCCAGCTGATCCTGCCTTATCCTAGTGTATGACAGCTACTCTGTGCACAGCTCAGTGACCCTATGCTATAAAATAGCCAACTGAGTCCCTGGCTAACTGTGTCTTCAAGGAAGTCATTCTCTTCAAAGGAAAAGGTAGGATGCCTGTTACATCTCACATCATCCCTATGGCTGAAGTGTCCACAGAGAAAAGAGCTTCAGAACCAGGTAAAACACAGATGTGGACCAAGTATTGGAAAGTCCCTCCATAAGCAGGTGCACACACAGACACAACCCAAGGAGGGCCCTGACCTGGAAGGACGACAAAAGATGTTGCTGGGGCCAGAGAGCCTGTCTGACCCCCACCAATCTGTGCTAACTGCTCGATCTACAGGGCAGATGACATCAGAGCCAGAAGCCAGAGCCAATCAAACAAGACTGCAACCTTCAGGGAGACTGAGAATGAGTCACCTTGACAGCCGAGCAGAGCCAACTCACTGACTATTGTTGAGAAATAGCAAGGGGACAAGCAGTGCCTAGATAGCATGGGTGATCTTTATTAAGGGAAAGTCAAATTGCTTTTAAAGACCTTTTAAAATAGTAATTAGCTATTTGTTTTCTTTAAGCTTTTCTTAAAGCAGCATCCATTACCATTATACAAAACATCAAAGTAACTGTTCTAGGGACCCAAGACAAGTGAAATGTGTACAGGAAAAAAAAAACTTTACCCAAAGTCAATTATCAACTGAGAAAGAGAGGGAGAGGGAGAGGGAGAGGGAGAGGGAGAGAGAGAGGGAGAGAGGGAGGGAGGGAGGGAGGGAGAGCCCCTGGATGTTGGTTTTTGTTTTCCACCGTGACGCAGGGTCTGTTGTCTGCTTATGCCAGGCTATCCTGCTCATAAGCTTCTGGGATTCTCCCGTCTACCATAGCATCACACTGTAGGAGCATAGAAATTACAGACGTGCTCCTGGGGATCCCAACCCAGGTCCTAATACCCATGTGGAAAACACTTCATCTACTCATGTATCTCCCTAGCCTTGTTTTTAAAATGTCATGATTATAAAGAGTGTTCCATTATGATATGGCCTCGAAAGGAGATCAAGCGGAAGCACAAGAGGTGCACGCCCACCCAGGAGCACTGTTGGTTGCTGTCCCTACCCGAGGGATCAGGGATGATGGCACATACCAGCTCTGGCTGCAATGAGGTGAGTGGCCCTGTCGGGGGCATCAGGGTTCAGCACCAGCTGAGTGAGGACCTTGGCTCCCAGGGCCGTGGCATGATAGTGCTCACGAGTCTTCTCCACAGGGAAGTTTGTTGGGTGCAGCCCACTGAATATCACAGCCACATCTGCCAGCACCTTGCTCTTAAGCTCGGGCACAATTTTCCGTATATCTGGAGCTTCCTCCAGCTCCTTCTTGAGGTATCTGTCATATTTTGTGTAATAGTCGGTGTGGACCCGGACTAGGATCTCCTCGAGGTGTATCAAATGGTCATCATCATCCGTGTCCTCTTCCTCCTCCTCCCCTACACTCTGGTCCAGGGACTCGCCCGCAGTGACACCCGACTGTTCACTGTTCTGTGACTCTGTTTCAGCCTCCTTCCGGTCCACACAGCCATTGCCCAGGCCACAGAGACTGTCCCGTTCACCCTCCTCCTGTGTGTCCAGGTCTGGTACTTTATCATGTGGGTGAGTGCTAGGCCCAGACTCACCCAAGGGGCTTGCTGTAGGCCTCCCCCCACTTGTGTCAGGGGACGCCCCCTGCTGTGGAACTTTGGTTCTGTCCTGGGTAGCTGAAGCTTTCTGGCCTCTTTTTTCCTCGTTCTCTGCATCAGAAGCCGAGAGGGACCTCTGCCCTTCTGACTCGCTGCTCTCACTGCTGTCACTGTCACTGGACAAGTCAAAATTCAAATCCTGGGCGGAGTCTCCCTGGACGGGCTGTCCCCCTGGCGTGGTGCGATTATCCCATTCACAAGACACCGGGAGCTCTGATGGTTCTGTCAGCCCATGGCCACCGGGGCTGCTAGTAGGAGAGGTCCGGGTGAGGGGCCAGGTATCCTTCTCGTCACTTTTACTGGGGAAAGCTCCTGTTACAGCCTCGCCACCATTGAGCTCCCTGGAGGCCTTCCCAAGGCCATTGCTCTGCTCCACCCCAGGAGCAGATCTGCCTTCCTCAGGATCCTTCACTGACAGAGCTTGTTCTAAGATGTCGGCTCCTTTAGAAGAGTGATTGACTAAATATACACACAAAAGGAAAAGTTACTGTTACTCAGTGGTTAAAAAAAACTCTCAAAACTGCCCCCTCTCCAGGACAGCCTGAACTGTCTGCCCTCTAGCTCAGGCCTCAGGAAGATTCTGATCCAACAGCCGGACAATAAGTAGTGCAGGTCTGTGGCCATACACATACCTTCTGCCTTTATAGTCCATGTGGGAGTGGCTTTCCAAGGTCAATGTCCTTGTCTACAAGGCCCAAGAAAAGGGGTTTTATCTTCTCTCTCTACTTTAGGGACTATGGGAGTAATGGCATGCCTATAAACATTCTTTTAAATTGTTTGGTGATGCACATCTGCAATCCCTGTATTCGGATTGAAGTAGAGGAACTGGGCAACATAAAAAGACTATCTTCAAAAAAGAAAAAAAAAGGAAGGAAAAAGAAACATACATTTCCTTCAGACACTCTGGCTCACATGTCTCTAACAGACACGGCTCCTGCAGTCTCCACGCAGTAAGTCCCTGATTGGGGTTGGTTCTTACAAGGGGAACAACTATAACCTCACTTCCTCTATGGTATATATAATCCACAGGGCATATTGTTTAAAAAAGCCTGGGATGAAACGCAACAGCATCACAGATACTCAGCATTTTTAATATTTACTCACCCAGTAAAAATTTACAGTATAACCGCCACTGCTCCCCCACTTCCTCCTCTAGGTGAACCCAGGGCCACGTGAAAGGTAGGTGAGCAGGATAACCATAAACAGTATCACCAGACCCTAATAAGATTTTTGAATATTCTACTTTTCATTACATAAACCCAATTGCCTCAGGAAAATTGAAACACAGAAAAAAAAAACCAAAGAAGAATAAAGCGAATATTGAATTTATAAGTCATTATGCAGGTTAAAAAAAAAGGTAAACATTCTTCAAAATGCTAACTTCACAATGAGGAGTCACCCACCTTTTTTTCTTGTCTGAGGTTCCCGGGACCCAGGGGGTGCATTCACATCTCCTGTACCTGGGAAGTAGACATACTTCTTCACAGTTATAAGGTTAGGAGCGAACTTCCAGACATCTTCTCGGTCATCAATAATGCAAACCATTGAGTCTCCACAGGGAAAGAGATTTCTACAAGCAAAAACATGCAGTTTACACAAATGCTGATCTGCCAGTTCAATAATCTTTTACTCTGCTAAAAGGGATAGTTTAGGACTCTTGACTACATATAAAGGGCAAAGAGCAGATTTCTTCAAAGAAGCCAGCTATAACAGGTTGTTTTCGCTTAACTCACAATCTATACTGTTTTGTCCAGAGAAAGTAACATTAAAATATTTTCTTCCACTGTTTGACTCTCCTAAATTGTAACTTCTCCAGTCACAGGTCAGAGCACAGTTCTTGTAAACAAATGGGTCAGACCACACTCACAAACACAGCCAGGGTACAGAGCCAAGAGTTCACGTGGGACCCTAGCGTGGACCTGCAGCTGTCCCTGAGCACACGGCGTGTGATTTTGCTGGGGTCTAGCAACCATCCCCTCAGACAGCTTTGCATGATCTTGTGCTTTCAGTTTGCTCCCTCTACATGAGCTGGCAAAAGTGAGGCCTGGTGTCAACTGACACCCCAGTCTCGTTACTGGTAACACACACAGCTTTTGGTCTCTACAGAGTCCTTAAAGATGAAGTGTCAGAAGAGGGTGCCTGCGTAAGCCACACCCCCTCACCTGGCATAAACACACTATAGAAATGAATGCCACTTGATACACGAACGGCAGACACAGCCTTTCGGGAGAGAAACGGGAAATGTCTTGTCTTGTGCAAAGTTCAGATATAGCACTGCTTTCCAAGTAGGACTTGGATGAGCTAGCCCTGTCACAAAAGCTTAGAGAAGACAGGAAGCAATAGAAAGACAACAAAAAAGGAAGACATGGAAACAGGGAAGATGTAACACTTAGCTATTTAACTTGGGTCTTATGTATAGGTGGAATGAATGCCTGGCAAACTGCTAAGAAGTTATAACTGAGAAGCTGGCACTGCTGTCCTCCTCCATCAATTCAGAAGCCATGTGAAGAAACTGTGACGTTCTGCCAGCTGCTGGAGTCACTGCTGCTTCCTACAGATCCTTCACTTTCTCTCAGCTACTTTGCCTTTTGAGCCAAAACCCAGCACCTCCAAGGTGATTGCTTCCTGTCTCTGCAATAGTGAGGTCTACCCAGGCCTCTAAAAGGCCAGAAATTCAAGGTTTATTCTCCCAGGCCAGCTGGTGAAGCGAGGCATGGAAGGCAGATGGGTGAGAGGTGAAGGAGAAGCCACCATGCAGCCCATGCAGGGGAAGATGATCACTGCAACACTTCTGACAGACATGAAGAACCACCTAAGAGTAGTTGCACAGCTGTGTGGTCCAGAGGAGGGAATAGGATTGGAGGGTGCAGAAAGGACTGGGTACCCTTAGGCCTGTGGTGGTTAGCATGAGAAGACCCCATAGGCTCATGCTCATAGATTTGAATGTTTGGATCCCACCTGGTGAAGAGCTTTGGGAACATTAGGAGGTGTGGCCTTGTTGGAGGAGACCCAGTTTCACTGTGGGTCAGATATGAGCTCTTAGCTAGTACCCCACACCCACCTGTTGTCACACTCCCCACAACGATGGTCGTGTACTAACCCTCCGAAACTTGAGTCTCAAACTTCATTTCTCTTCTTTTTCCCCAAGACAGAGTTTCTCTGTGTAGACCTGTCTGTACTCCAACTGACTCTGTAGACCAGGCTAGCCTCAACTCAGAGATCGGTCTGCCTCTGCCTCCTGAGTGCTGGGCTTAAAGGTTTGTGCCACCACTGTCTGGAAACTGAATAGTAAGCTGTCCCCATGGTAACTGGCCAAGTACATACCTAAGGTTTCCTGTTTTAGAAAATGGGTCAATACATTCATCTCTAGACAATATTCGATGAGAAAAAAGCTTCTTTTCAGGGTCCAAAAAACCTGTAAGATTAAAAAGGACAAAGGTCATGCTGTGCACACAGCACTTCAAACTGTGACAGGTACAGCTGAGACTTGCTCTTCTTTAACACATGCCAGAATGTCTAAAGCAAAACCACATTTGCTGTCTACATTAGCATTGACTTGAAGCATCTGGAAGATGCACTGTGCTGTGTAAAGCCCAAGAGAAGCATGGTCTCAGCATCCCCTAAGGACACTGCCCTAATGATCCTACTTTGTCCCACCAGACCCCACCTCCTAAAGGCTGAACTACCTCCCACAAGTGTACACAGTCACCTTGCTGTGCACTGTGCAGCACATTTAGGACTTAGGATCCGCAGGTGTAACTACCATTGGATTTCACACCCTGCCCAGTTTCCTCAGGCTCTGGCACACAGTGTTCCCAGGAGAAACGTACACTTATGTTGGTAAAGACACTGTCTACAGTTTTATTGGATATTGCTTTCTGATTCTGTCCAACAGGCTTCTGATGGACTGGATACTGGAATTCTCCCCTAAAGCCACAGCTATAATGGAGTTGGTGCCCAAGCCTCAAGTGTCTGCTAGCGAAGGGAGACCCAGCGGCAGGATTTGAGTTGGCAGTCACACAGGGCCAGGGTTGTTAGCTGCCGCATATGGTGACACTGTCAACACCACCACCAGTATGGACACTATCAAAGCAGTAAGCAACCACACCCTCTCCTTTATTAGAGCTGAAAGTAGCCTGGCATTCTTTCTTCTCTTAACTTCATCACTGGGGCCTTACTGACAGGGATCTGGTGCAGTAACACATTGACTGAGTGTTAAAAGGACGAATGCGGATGGGACCCAGATGAAACCCAGGGTGTGGCTTTCCTTAAGCAAATGTCCTCTTGCTCAGTACTGACATAGTCCCTAAGCCTCTTCATTCTGGTTCTTGCTGGGTTATATGGTCAGATCAATAAAACACACTATCTACAAGGAGGAGTGACTCTAGGCCAGTGGTTCTCAACCTTCCTAATGCTGTGACCTTTTAATATAGTTCCTCATGTTGCGGTGACCCTGAACTATAAATTATTTTCGTGACTATAAATTATTTTCGTGGCTACTTCATAACTGTAATTTTGCTACTGTTATGAACAGGACTGTAGATATCTGACACGAAGAATATCTAATATGCGAGCCCTGTGAAAGGGTCCTTCCACCCCCACAAGAGTTTCGATTCATAGGTTGAGAACCACTGCTCTAGGATTTGTCCAGCAACTTTCCTAAATAACTATAAGATCTAAAAGAACCCCAAATAGGAAATATTGGCATTGCCACTAGTTGGGCAGGAGGCACAGGCTCACTCACAGGAGCCAATCCAAAGCGAGAAAAGTTGGATGCTCAGTGGAGATTTTTCTTATGAAGAAAGAACAAAATGAATGTAATTGTTCAAAAAGAAATAGTTACTATGTAGTTACCACAATGATGTTAAGAATCTTATGTGAAAGAACATGGCATAGTGTGTATGTACTTAGACAAACTATGTAAGACTATGCAAACACACAGACACACACACACCAAAGAGGGAACACATGTGTACATGAGAGTGATGATTATTTTTCTAATTTTTAGCCTTTCTGACACCTTAAACTTAAAAATTTTAAGTACCAAAGTACTCATTTAACTGGGGTATTTACTTCCTTAAACTCTGCTGATGTCTACACATCACCTGCCTAAAGCTTGCACAATTATCACTATTAGCCCATGAGTCACTAATTACCACCCAGAGAGGCAAGGTTTCAATGGAAAAGTCACAAGCTTGGGTGTGGATCTACTTTTATATAGGATGCCTTAGCTGCTGGGGCTACCACAGCTAACTACTGCAGACTGGGTGATTTATAACCAATAGGGATCTACACATCATAGTTCTAGAGGTTATAAACCCAAGATCAAGGCATCTGCAGCTTCAGTGACAGGTGGTAGTGTTCTGTTGATGGTACCATCTCATTATGCCTTTGAAGGGCAGAAAGGACAAGCAAGTGCCCTGAGGTCACTTTCATAACCTCCCAAGGCCGCCACCTAATAATCACCTTGCTGATTAAAGGTTAGAATACGCATTCAGAGCACGGGGTTCTTTATTGGTCTGAGATTATACAATTACACAAATCTTCAAATCCCATGTCCCAGGTACACAGGAGTCACAACCTTAAAACACTGAATCACAGACAATATGGATCAGCTTTAACATGTGTTCAATGTTTGTGACAAACACAGTATCAGTGTAGATTCACAAATTATGAGTATACATCCTAGTGGGAGCTGTTGATGGCGGGGAGGCAGGATGTGTTTAGGGTAGAGTGTGTGCAATAGGGGCAGAGTCTGTGGAGGAGAGAATGTATATGGGAAATCTCTGCAATGAACCTAAAGTTGACCTAAAAAACAAAGCCTATTTAAAAATAGGCTACAAAGAAACGAAAGACTAAACAGATTCTAAAGTACCAACTCCATCAACAAAGACAGAGATCAATCTGTATCTTTGAAGTGCTATGTGCCTGTGCACATGTGGATGTGGGGTGGGTGGGTAGGTGTAGGGGTGTGTGTGTGTGTGTGTGTGTGTGTGGTGTTGATGTACTCATCCACGCATGCATGTGTGAAACCAGAGGTCAACACCAGGTTTCTTCCTCTCTTTGTTTCATTGTTTTCTGTGTTTTGAAACATGGTCTCTGATCCCACTGGTTCAGAAACTGCTGATCGTTTTGATTTTTGGTGGGTGCTGGAGATGTGTACTTAGGTCTTCAAGCTTGCACAGTAAGAGCTGTACCCACTCCCAGTGCCAAGACTTTGAACTTAAAGTGCTCACTTGAGCAACTTCTGCAACTGCTACCCACTCAGATGCCACAAGCTTGCTGGAATAGAACATGTCCTCCCTCATCATTCAGACAGTGACTGAGATATACAGAGGCTCAGTGTAACTTCCTACCAAACTCATTCCCCAGACAGTGCTGCCATCTGGTGGACACTGCACACTAAGAGGACGTTAAGTGACTCCCAGGAAGACAAGCAAAGGCCAGGCCACTCAGTCCCTCAGTCCTCAAGTAACTCATGATGGCCTATAAAGTATTTGGCATATACTTGAACAACAGAGCTCCAAAGCCATCTTTAGTCAGCTAAAGGAACTACCTTTGAAAACTCACCCACATAAGTTTAATTCACCTATGGTCCCAGTCAACATTCCCACTGCAACTGCCAGTTCTAACCCTCAGTTTCTGCACCATTCTTTGTTTTGAAGAAGATACATTTGAAAATATGAAATAACTTGCCACCTACGTGCATTTGTGGACCTTACACTGTGCTTGACTGACCTGCAATGGTGTGGGCATAGAGACGGCTGCCAAAAGTGAAAACATGCAACTCATACAGCTTGGCAATCTTCTCCAAAAAGTCCCTGCAGTGAGGGCGCAAGCGGGTGTGCAGCATTGGCTCACCCCGGCCCAGCTGGAAGTGAAAGATGCCCTGTAAGAAGAAGAGTAAGAGTGAGAAGAGGGTGCAGGGAGAATTGCCCAGGTAGCATCTGAGCTGTGGACCCTGCAAAGTCTGTAGAAGTACAGATTAGATGAGGGACTGCACAGGGCACATGAGATCCACATACTGCACGAATGAGGCAGCATGGGAAGGTGCATGATGATGGATGCCACTGACTACCATAGCTATGCCAACAAGCCACTGTAATAACAGGCTGCAATAACTACCTCTCATAATTATAACTGTCCATGACACTACTCACTATAAACTACCTGGTAACTATCAGTCACTATAACCACCATGATAACTATCTGTGATAACCACAATCAGGACAGCCTGATGATGGCTGTTAGTGACTACCCAATCATGTCTTGGGATCAGTGCTAGGTTATATGTCCCATCTGTGCTATTATCTGTGGCATTACCTTATCCTGTTATTGCCTACACCTCTGCTACTTCACATGTTCTTACAGGTCAAGCAACAGAGCTGTAGCCACCGTCCTAAACACACCCATGGTGGTTCCTGAGCTTCTAATGAGGGTACAACTGTCAGTGGCTTGATAAACTGCTTCACTCAGGTATATGAGTGATGAATTGGTGTTCTAGATCACCTTGCAGGCAGGTAAAATGTGTATATTCCCATTATTATTTTGCAGATAATCGTGTTTTCCTTAGGGAACTAAGCTACCATCTGTTTACTTCTATTTACCATTATTTTCTCAGCAAAAATACTGACTTCTAGGATAGATACTCCCTAGCTCTAGTATAAACACACCAGGATGGTGAGAGATTCTATTATTAGCTTCACCTTCTCAACAGCAAGCAGTCCAACAGCTGTAACGTCAACCTCCGTAATGGATGGATGGATGGATGGATGGATGGATGGATGGATGGATGGATGGATGGATGGATGGATGGCCACAGCGAGAATAAAGAGCTCTTCCCCAGGAGTTCAGACTTCAGAACTGAACTCAGAGGTCTACAATTATGTTTCAGTGGTGGCCCAAGTCCTGGCCAAAGGTGCCCTTTGTAGACTAGAGGAATCCTGGCAGTACTGACACTAAGAGAGATCTGGTCCTGCCTAAATCATCCTACACAGTTTAACACAGTTCCTCATGTTGTGGTAACCCCCAACCATAAAATTATTTTTGTTGCTACTTCATAACTGTAATTTTGCTGTTATAAACTGTAATGTAAATATTTCCTAATGGTCTTAGGTAATCTGTGTGAAAGGGACTACCCCTGTGAAGACACTGTAGTAGTTCAGATCCCTTACAAGTGAGAACTGGTTCAGGCTATCTTACTGAACTAATGTAAAATGTGCAACTCCAAAGGCCCAATAAAAGAAACAACCACAGCAACACATGTAAAGGCGCACAGGAACAAAGCCCCTTCCATTCTGGGCCCTGCAAATGCTCCCTACACAGGCAGGTGGTGTGACTGAAATGATACACTATTCAGTAATACCTTCTATGCACTGTCCTGTAACATTCCATGACACACAAAGAAAACTAATACAAGTGTAAGTATAAGCTGTGCCATGGAGGAGGAACTCTAGTCATATTAGGCTAATCTTCAAAAACTCTACCTACACTTGTCATTAAATTATTTTCACTGGTCACTATTCATATCACTACTATATCCACAGCAGTTCATTCAAACAAAGGAATTTGGCTCTACAGTAAACCATACCCTAGGCTGTGATCAGCTTCTAGTATCTTCTCATCCCTGGCACAGAAGGACACATACAAAGCTGTAATGGTACCCAAAATCTAAAATAATAGTCTATGTGTCACTTGCCCAACAGCTAATATTTTAAAACCTGGCAACCTGACACTAGCTAGGCCTTCCTTGTTAACAGTCCGCATGACTACAGGCTTTAGGTCATCTTTCTCTAATAGGCGCTAAACAAAAGCTTTTTTGCACCTGAACCTCAACTTCCCACCAAGCCGTGCTTAACCTCAATGTGACTCCACACCTGGTCACTTCCTATGTCACTCTGGAGAATTCGATTCCCTCATGGTGACTCCCATCTTCTCTTGAACACAGATCCAGATATCCTCTTGTTCTAGACATCCAGATATGAGGAACTCTACATGATACCTCTTCCCAAGACCATGTCCCCAACAGCATTACTTGTGTGTCAGCGCCACCCCCCAACGCCCCCTCACACAAAAGCTCAATGCTAATGGTAAGAGGCCACTTTCCACTTTCTACCAGGCCCAGCCCAGACACAGATACATGACTGGCCTGTTTCCCACATCTAGGTGATCATAGGAATTCACTTAAAACAAGATAATGTACTTTGAAATATAATCATGAGGTCTACAGCTGCTGTGAGGGCTACCGTGGGAAAAGCTGGTGTCACTCACTTTGTTGGACATCTGGGGACACTGCTGCTCAGTTGTATGAATCAGGGTCTGGTCCAAATCAACCATGAGGACCAATTTTCTGTTTCGATGTAGCCGTTGCTGATC